TATAATATAATATAATATAATATAATATAATATAATATAATATAATATAATATAATATAATATAATATAATATAATATAATATAATATAATGTAAACATCTCCATCATATAGGAACACCTTTAGTATATGTATTTATACACATACATTCATGTCTACAAGTCCCTGTGTTTATGCAGACACCTTTCTATCCTAATGTTATACCATAGATCACTTAACAATATATAATGTGATTTGTGTTATTTTCACTCTCTCACCATTTTATACACACACACACATATATTTATGCTCTACAAATGCACACACTCCCCGGCACTCTTTCCTTTCTCATTATAACTTTAATAACACAGAATATATAATAAAATGTACATGATATTTTATATCTTCCATGTGTTATGCAGTGAATTATTGGTACTTATATTTACTATTACATCCCACAGAGTCATGTTATTGTTTGTTGTACTATACATGCTACTACATTAGAACATTATCTATAATTATATATTACATGCATATATATATATACACGCATATATATCTCACAACCTCACAGTCTCCTTTTATGTACACACATACATTTGTAGTCTGTGCAGGCTTAGATGCCTCTTTTCATAGCATCTACATATATTTACCTTATGTAATCTATAATACAGATTATGTAAAATGTAAGAGCATAATAATGATAACATTTTATTGTTTGATTATGTCATTATTTATGACTTTTATTTAAATTTATTATTTTACCACAATTAATTATAATTATACAATTATATCATTAAATGATCTATTATATTTAGTAATTAATTTTTATTAATATATTACATATACATATACCTATTAGATATACATATTACATATAAAGCTCACTGATAGTATACAATGCTTCTCACATGTGTATGCATTTGCTCTACTCCCTCTGACAGACACCTGTCCTTGCAGACATATTTGCGTATGTGTTATAAGTACATATTATATTATTGGCTTTTCGCAAATATTAAAATTAATGCTATATGTATGCTAATGAATGTTGGAAAACTTTGCTGAATGAATATAGTTTCTTTTAGTTCTGCTATTAACAAAACTTAGAAATAGTAGTGTGATAAATATATCTTTTCTTGGACTGTTACATGGTGATGTAAAAAGCTTTTGTTCATGTAAATAACTCAGAGAATGGTAAAAAGATAATCAGGAAATTCTTCACATTCTTGGATTATCCTATCTGGATGAAGACAGGGGTAACGAACACCAGAACTCCAGGGAAAGGATTTATTGATCTCCGTTATCAGGGAGTGCTCCGACAAAAAGGAGCTACGAGGAAAAAAAAAAAGTAAATATATTGATTTACAGGTTGGAGGAGGGGTGATTTTGAATAACGCATGGAAGGTCTATGAATATACAACAGCTTGATGCGTTTAACGAAGAGTTTTCTGAGTTAGGGTGTGCTCTTGGCGGAATGCCAAGCACCCGGCCGTTGTAATCTTTTGCTTTATCATCTTTATTGTCTTTTATTAAACTTTTAAAAATCTACCAAAAAACTGAACCTCGTTTTTCACAGTATGCAAACAGCCTTTTTAAAGAGCCGCTCACACTGAGCGGCGCAGTGCCGTAGCAACCCGTGGCCCATGCACACTAGAGCAAGCCACTGTGGCTCCCGGCCCGCCCGGCCTCGCCCCATTTCCGCCCGCACCGGAAGCGCCATGCCCGCGGTGCCGCTCGCGGCCGCCGGGCGGCGCCACTTCCCGGAAGTAGCGTTCCGGAAGTGGCTGTTGCAGGGGCGGGGCGGAAGGAAGTGACGCGCATGCAGAGCCGCGGCGGGGCCGCCCCGCCATGTCGCGGAGCTGTGAGCAGCGGCCGCAGTTGTGAGTACGGGCGGGCCCGGGGAACCGGCTCGCAGGGACACCCCGCCAGGTACAGTCCCGCCGCTCCCCACCCTGCCGGCACCCGTGGGCGGAAACGGGAGGGCGGCGGCGGCGGCCCCGGCGGGGGGTGGCGGGAGGGCGTCGTCCTGTTTCTTCCGATCCCATCCCAGTCCTCCCTCCCTCCCTTCCTCCCTTCCTCCCTTCCAGACCCGCCCCGCTCCACGTGCGGTGCCGTCTCCGGCTCGACGCCAGTTGTGTTTTGCTGTCAAAGGCTCTCGGTATTTGTTGTCACTGCGGCCTCTTCGCGGTGAGAGTGGGGTGTGCTGGGGGCAGCCGGGAAAGGGGGAGTGGGGATGCGAGGGGTACTGAACCTTTCACAGACGTGGAATTATTTCCGTTGGAAAAGCTCTTAAAGATTAGTAAGTCCAGCCATTCCCCCAGCACTGCCACATTCACCACTAACCCATGTCCCCAAGTGCCACATCCACTCAATTTTTTTTTTAACACTTCCACAGTTGATGACTCCACCTCTGCCTGGGGAAGCCTTTACCAGTGCTTGGCCGCCCTTTCCAAAAAGAAATTTCCCTACTATTCAACCTAAACCTGCTCTGGCACAGCTTGAGGCCATTCCCTCTGCTCCTGTCCCTTGTTCCTTGGGAGCAGAGCCCGACTCCCCGGCTGTCCCCTCCTGTCAGAGAGTTGTGCAGAGCCAGAAGGTCTCCCCGAGCCCCCCCCAGCTCCCGCAGCCACTCTTGGTGCTCCAGCCCCTTCCCCAGCTCTGTTCCCTTTTCTGAACTCCGTGGGTGGGTTTCCCTGCTCAGGTCCCTCATTCTGATCAAAGTACACACAGGTGGCTGTGCTGGGCTGTCCTGGCTGGAATGGTGCTGAGGGAATTCTCTGGGCTGCCCAGCTCTCCGTGGTTCTGTTCCTGCTTTACGCTGGGGAGCTCAGCAGGCCCAGCTGCTGCAGCCGTGCTTGGGCTCCTGATGCCTTTCCTGTCTCTCAGGAGTTCTCAGGGTGCTTTGTGTGTTCAGGGATGAGTTTTGGGTGATTTCTGAATCCTGGGGCTGCCTTGGGATCCAAGTTGGATGTTTTTGATGGTCACAGATTCTCCGAGAGGTTTTGTGGCTGGAGGAGGATCCTGTCATGGATCAGGAGAGCTGTGGTCAGTAGCAGAGCATAGGGAGCGTTTCCTGACAGCTTGCACACCCACAATTATCTGTACTCCAGGGAATATTCCACAGTGGATGAAAAGGGTTCCCAGAAGCAATTACCATCAAACAGTTGTTTTTCTGCTATTATTGAAAGCTTCTGGTTTAGGATAAAACCTCAGGTCATTAGAGATGGCTTGAACTGAAATTCTAGTCAGGATTCCTCCAAATTCAACATCAATTTCCTGATTTCCTTTAGATAATGATAATAATGATTATTGTATATTATTTAGATTATATGTTACTGTATGTCTATTATTATCATTACTATAATTATTTTATTACAATTTTCAGATAATCCATGGGGTGAATGCAGCTGTATAAAATAAATACGTATCAACTACAGCCAATTTATTTTACCTTGTCCCTAGTTGCACATTTCCAATTGACAGTAAAGTGTTAGTTTGCCACTTCCTGGATCCAACTGAACCTATTAAAATCAATTCTTTTGGTTCTCCGGAGTGGCCCATAGTCCCTGGTTGTTTATTTGTATTTGTAGATGAGAGTTGGGAGTGAAGGCAGATGGAAAAGTACCTCATTGTTCCTTCTGATGACTTTGCAGGAAAATTGAGCCACTCTGTCTCTTTGGTCTCTCCACTGATGCATTTTGTAATGGCACAGTCAGGATTTCTCTGGGAATCATGTGCTGGTGGTTGCACTGGATTTGGTGAATGAACTTATTTAGCAGAAATAAATACTCGTGCTTCCTAAAAATATTCCAAGGGTGTTTTTGTTAATGCAAGCATAAAGGACAGAAGATGAGTGTTTGAATACTCAGTATTTTGTGTTTTGTGCTGCTTACTGAGAGTAATGAACAGTGAGAGAAGTTTAGGCAGTAAAACTGGTGTGTCTGGTCAAGAAAACAGGAATTCTGGTGAACTGAAGGAAATGTAGATTATTCTTTTTATTTTTCTGTCTTGAAATAAGTAAGTTAAGAAATAAATCTTCCAGTTTCTTTCAGTTCTCTCTGCTTTCCTGCCTTCCTTAATGGCACATCCATAGGGAGATGTTGGTGTTGCCACACATTCACCAAAATGAAATCTCCTTTTTGGGTCCAAAAAATGTGATCTGGTTGACAGATCCCTCTGTGAATGTCACAGAATTTTATTTGATTATATTTATTGAATTTGATAATTTCTCTGGTGATGTTAAATAAGATTTCTACAAGCCCACCATTTTTTTTTAGTCTTCCATGAGCTCTTTTCCCTTAAGGTTTGTTCATGGATATGCCTTAGACCTTTCTAAAGTATCATAACAACACAATTATTTCTGAGAGTTCATGTATGAGACTTGAGGAGTTTTATTCTTACAGGGTTGGGAAGGGAAGTACAATGAAGAGGGGAAAGAAAACTCTGCTTCGGTAACTATGGGAGAAATCCCCACGGACAACCTGGCATGATAGAGATTTCCTATTGAGTTTTTTGTTTTTGTCTTTTTTAGGAAAAAAATGAACCTGTTCTTTAATCAAATTAATCTGACACCCTAAAAAGGGGATGCTGAGGGAGTTTTTTTCATTCTGCTTAAGAGATTCTTAAAGATGCATTAATTCAAGGAAGCAGGGATCTTGAAGACTGAAGCAAAACAACTTCTAAGTCTCCTCTTCATCACTCAAAAATGTATGGGGATGGTGTTTTATTTTATTCTGGTAACATGAAACTTCCTCATGGTTATTTCTTTGTATCACCTGGGAAAAGCTTTACGATGTGAAATTGTTGCAATGAAGCCTTTTCAACTTAGAGAGCTAAAAACATTTGCAGTGATCCTTTCCTCTGTTGTTTGAGTAAATCTGTGTGAATTCCACTTCTCAGTATCTCGTTGGACTTTTCTCTTGCCTATCCTTTAGCTTTTTGTCCTTCTCCAAACATGTAAGTACCTGATACTTGTTTCAAGTTAAAGAATGTTATTTCCCAGACAATTATAACTTTGGGGAATCTTGCTCTTTTTCATGGAGATGAAAAGCTACAGTTGCCTTCAAAAGCAGAATGATCTGAAATTCAGGCAAATGAGTTTTTTTACTGGTGCTTTTTGCCCCAATTTACTTTTAAGTTCCTGTTTGTAGCACAGTCAAAACCTATTTTTAAGTCTGTCAGGCTGAAGGTGAATGGTGATTCCAGGTGGAATGAGGAGGTCAATGCTGGAAACTGGCAGAGGAAAATATTGATGCAAAGTTATCTTCAGCTCATCTCTCCCTCTTTTTCTTGCTTCCTCTCCCTCTGATCTGCTCCCCCTCCTCTTGCCCAAAAGTTAGAAGTGTCCCCTTGCTTTGACAGGTGGAGGAATGAGCCTCTTTGGAGGTTTCTTCTGCCCCTTGATGTGAATTTGCAGCCCTAGTTAGTTGGGGCAGGTAACCGTTAAGTGCCTGTTTGTGTGTTCAGCAGTTCCACGTTTGTGGGACTTGCTGAAAATTCCCTCTGAATTTGCCTTTACTTCTTACATAGAAGCAAAATGAGGCTGTAGATCATGGAATTATGACAGAAGTGTTGAGAGATTCAAAGCACAGAGCAGACAAAGTGGTGTCCAGGAGCTGCTGCTGTTCCTCATTTGCATTGTCAGTAGTGTTGGGAGGTTTAAAGTGCTCCAAAAGTCTTATTTCTCTGCTTTAATTATGTTCAAACACAAAATATTTCTTTTTCCTCTTCGTTTAAGCAAAACTGTTTTCTGTCAGATTGTTGCCTGTCAGTGCTAGTCCATCTCAACTCTCGTGTCTGATTCCAAAGCATCCAATTCCATTTTGCTCCTAAGCCATCCAGTGACAGCTTCTATTAGGAGCCATGTGATATACTTCCCATATTTTAATTTTCAATACCTTTAAAACAAAAGTGTTGCAGAATTTCCTGCCCACTGCATTGATACCTCATGTAAAAATCTCCGTTTTCACACATTGTGACCAGAAATGAGGCATTGTACCAAAATACTAGGTGTGGGAATTAATTCCAAGGTCACAGCAAGGAAAGCTCTGTGTGCCTGATTCCTTTGTGTGTTGGGCAGACAACACAGTAGTGGGGTGTTTGTGTCAGTCCCCAGAGGAATGGGATCCCCAGCAGCAACTGCCCAACTTTGGGAGTGAAGAGCATTCCTGTGACTTCCCACTTGATGGGAAAAGGCAAAGGTTGGCTGACTCCTGAGCAGACACAGTGGTGGGATGCAGGGACTGAGCTCTCCCAGGCACTGCTCCAAGCTGAATCAGGAGCCCGAAAAGACAGAAAAAATGCTGGTTTCAAAACTACCTGACAGAAAGAAGAACACAGCACTGATGTCATTGAGATGGGACTGGGAACTACTCCCGTGTGTGTATTCCCAAGGCATTTATTGACATAGGAAGTCGATGGGATGGAGCTGGTGCTCATGGTGACTCCAGGTGGAGTTGGCAGCTCTGCCTTTTAATTGCTCTGGATTTGCTGTCAGGAAACAACTTCCAATGATTTAGTCTCTTCTTTCCAGTGAGGGCAGCTCTGTTTGCCCACACATGTCTCTGCAGTGCTTTGGGCAGTAGATTGTTCTGCTCAGAGTCCAGGAATTTTTGCAGAAGAGCCTGCTTTGGGCAAACTCCCTTGGAGTGGGAAAGGTTTTGTCTTGCCATGGACTCAAAAAATCTTGGCATTTGGAGCAGTCACAACTGACTTATGTTTTGACAAGATCTGTCTGTCTCTTGGTGAGTTCTTCCCTTCACCTGCAAGAAATCTCTGTTTCCTCTCCAGATATCCCTGGTGCTGTTTCCATATGTTCCTCCTTGGTTTTGAAGCCTTTTCCTTCCCAGACTTAGACTTCTGTTCTCAAAAATGTTTATAACTCAGTAGCCTTTGAGGGTTTTCCATCTCTTTGAGGATGAACCACCTCTGTGGTCTGTATCTGCCTCAAAAATGCTGGGCAGCTGTGATGGAGGCACAGGAGCCACCTGTTCCACAAGATAAATGCATTCTGCTTCTAAATTCCTTTGTTGTGTCTGAAGTAATTTCTGCTTCCATCTTGCTGTGCAGCTATTCTCCCTGTATTTTCCTGAAGTGTTCCTGAAATTCATAGTTCATATCGCTCAGGAAGGATATAAATGTAACAGGGAGATGGGAAAGGGAAAAATAAGGCTTCTCTGGGAAATCGGGAGGTAGTGGCTTCTGTTTCATAATGAAAGGTCCCATAAGGGGAAGAATAGGTAATGTGAGGTGTTTCCTTGGGTCTTTTAACTTATTTTTAATCTGAAAAAAATGTCATTTCTTGCTACTCTGGGGTGTAGAAGTTGGACACTATTTTCAGATAGTCTGAAGTGGTCTGAAATAGAAACTTACGTAGGTCAGTAGGAAGCTCCTGAAGATTAGCTCAGGTGTTTCCCCGGAGTTAATCTGCTTCAGCCCTGGGTGTAGAGTTCACTGATGCTCGTGAATTAAAGTACCTCTGCTTGTTCACTTACACTGCCTTTCATTTTTCTCTCTTTTCCCTTTTCTTTGTTAAGCATTACAGGCTGTATGTACCGAGTCATTCAGACAACGGGACCAGATGGAAAAAACCTTCTGAAATTGCTTCCCATTTCTAAAACTTCTGGAAGCTTTATGCCAATTGTTCAGTCTCCAGCCATGCCAAATAATTCTAATGCAAATGTTTCTAGCCCAGTCCATCTTACTCTTAAGACACACCTTGGCAATACTACTGCACCTTCATCTGTTAAGATACCTATTTTTCAGCCTCCTAATCCTGGAAGAATTATTCTTACGAGAACATTAGACAAGCAGGAAAGTGCTAGGGCAGGTTCTGAAAAGGAAAGCTTGATTTCAAGTGCAGCTGCCAATGCCCAGAGCAGCTGTGTGCCCATGGATGGAGTGTCCTTGCAGAACATCGCCATCACGAGCTCCTCTCACCAGAGCAGCACAACCTACATGATGGTGAACACCAAACCAGTGACTGTCAAGTCTCCAGTGCTGCCCTCTGGACACCACCTCCAGATTCCAGCTGATGCAGAAGTGAAATCTGTCCCAGCGTCTCTTTTGCCACCTGCAATACAGCAAAAAATCCTGGCAGCTGCAGCCACCAATGTGTCTGGAGGGGCCGACAGTACAAAAACGCCGACGGTGATTTACGTGTCACCTGTGAACACAGTGAAAACTTCCCAAGTCCTGCCCAAGCGCTTGCAGAGCTTTTGCCCCAAACCTGCCCCCGAAGTTTCAAAGACGCTGATTGTGACAGCTGCCCAAAAGGGGTCTGGTTCTTCTCCTGAGCCAGTCACATCCGAGGGACAGCAGTGCCAGCAAACTCCTATGAAATGGATCGTGCAAGAAACTGCCCCGCTCTCAGCAGCTTGTCTTATCCCTGTAAAGTCTTCGAATAATGTGGCTTCCAAGATCTTGAAAACTTTGTCAGACACAAAGAATGTAGAAGTTAATCCTGCAAATATTTTGCCGCTCTGTTCTAATGGTCCTGGTGGAAACCAAACCAAAATCACACCTTTAAAAGATAATGCTCTGGTCATGTACAATGGGAAGGTCTATCTATTGACCAAAAGAGGCTCTGATGTACTGTCAACCCAGGATGAAAAACAAACATACTCTGATGGTTTACTTAAAAAGGAGACACCCAAGCAAATTGATTCTACTGAAGTCAATAAAATAAGCAGTAAAGTGGTGAATCTAGTGTTGTCAAAAAGCAAAGGAGTGGTGCTGTCTAAGAAAGACCTAAAACCATGTATAGTCTCCAAAAATTCATCACCAGTTGGCTTAAGAAATGACTTAAAATCCACACCTGCAGCTCTGCTGACAGCAAGTGCTAATCAGCAGGATCCCACTATGATCCAGAGACAGAGTTTGCCCTTCACCAAGAGCATTTCTTGCAGTGGAGTGATCCCAGTTCCAGCAGTAGGGATGCAGGAAAGTGTGTGGCAAAATGGCAAAGACATGAGTCATTCCCCAAGAGCAGCAGGGGCTATGTTACCTCAGGCTAAGCAGGAATGTGCTGTCAGTGAAGACTGGCCAAAGGTAATAAATCATAAACATGCCACCTCAGTGTCTGATCAGTGGTTCTTTGGTTCTGGTTTTAGGTGGATAAAATGGCTCTTGATGAGTTCGCACATTTTTATAACTAGGTATCCTGGAAATGCTGCTCCAAGGTTGGTTCTAGTCAATAAATTGCCTTTTTCCCAATAATTTTGCACTGTGCAAGTGAGAAATGCATAGAAAAGAAAAGGGCAGAGGAAAGGTGGCTTTTGATTTCCTCCCAGGACAAATGGTCAGCAATAACTGAACTCCAGGGAGGCTGTTCGTGGTTTGGGCTCTTAGATGTTGATGCCACATGCTCATGGCACAACTTTAGGGCTGTAGGGTTGATGTAGGGTAGAGAAGGACAAGTTTGTGGCTTCACAAGAGGAAAATAAGTTGGAAAAGCAGAGTTTGTCCTCCAGAGACAGCTCTGGTGTGGCACTGTTGGCTCCAGGCTCTGCTTGCTGTGTTTCCTTCCTCCCCTGCCCTGGTGGGGAGGGTCCACCTCCTTCACTCCTGTGTCAGGCAGAAGGAACTCTTGAGATCCGTAATAGCTGCATTGACATATTCTTTTAAGATCATAATGTTGAAAATACGTTAAAAATTGTAAGCCTCCAATGCCCAAGCACCCCATTCAGGATTGGAGGTCATGTTTTTAGTAGCTCCAGAGCCAGGATGAATTTGTCTCCGGAGAAAAAATAATTCTGAAATTTGTTTATGTTGTCTAGGCAGAACAGAAATGTCAGCTGAGTGTATTTTTGCAAATTTTAGACATTTAATTGTTGCAACAGACTGTAAGACCTAGTTTTTTGATTGTCATCTGAAAAATGGTTGAAATACCATTTATTTTCTTTAGTGTACTCTGGTGCCAAGTGTCAGCATTTGCTTTAACCTTGGTGAGAAGTAGCTCAACAAATTTGGTGTTCTTGTCCCTAAATTTGCAAACCTCTGGATTGCAGAGTAACGACACTACCTGCTCTTCCCTCTTCTTTCTTTGGTATTTTGAAGGGGTAGAACAAGTGATTCTTTTGTTGGTTCTTTTATTTCTGTGGTTGCTGGTTGGCTGGGATGTTTCTGGGTGTTCCACAATGTACTTGGGGTGTTAAATAACAAGTGTTAGACCTATGATAATTTGCATATAATTTATCAAAATTGGCTTATCTGTGTTAAATATTACGTGTGTTAAATGTAGCTCTTGAAGAATGGCAGACAAAATAAATGTTCACCTGTCTTTCTAGCACCTATTTTTTGTATATTAATATATTTTGTCTTTTTATATTTATATATATAGAAAGAGAGAGAAAGTGAGAGAGTGATTGATGGCTCTCTCACTGTTTCTGTATTTCAGATCCAGTGTGAAAAGATGGATTCACTGGGAAAGGTTACTCAAATCAAACACCAAGAGCACCCACACTGGAGACAATACTTGGAATTAAGGAAAAAATTTGGTCTCTTTAAGGAAGAGAGAGTTTACCTTATGAGAATACCATTAAACGCCTTCTGTGAGAATCCAGAAGAAAGGGTTTGTTCCACTGACAGCTTGGAAAGGAAAAATGATTCTTGCAGTTCATCCTCATTGGATATGGAAATAATGAGTCATCGTCAGGAATGTGTTAAAGAGGAAAAGGTATCTGGGATTTTTCAGTGCTAAACACACTCAGAAAACAGCGTATGTTTAGTCAGTACAGAGCTGAGGGTGTTCGGAGCCTCCTACTTCTGGATTCACCAGGAGACTCAGGGGTTGTTGGGATCTCTGTGAGAATTGTTCCTAGAACTAGTTTAAAATTTCTGTATGACTTGAGCACCCTCTAGGAATTTTTATCCTCGTTTTTGGGTTCTGCTGGAGGAAACTTGAACAACAAATGCTTTTGAGAAGACTGTCCCTATTACTGTGGTGATGGTCCTAGTTGGAATAGGGCCCAGACCTTGGGATCCTGATTTATATTTAAGCCTCTGCAGATGGTTATGTTTGTCTAGAGGGTTTGTTAAAAGAAATTTACTTGTGGATCTGTCCAATCTTTAGAATTGCAAATAATATAAACGTACAAATATAAACTTTGTCAATGGTTGGGTATTTCTGGAAGGAAGAACTTCATGTTAATGCATGGAAAGGATTTTATCCATCCAAATATTTCCATTCAGCTACATTCTCAGGTTTTACTAATTTTGTGCTAATAATTGAGCAGATCCGTGGCTGCTCTTAACATTAACAACATTAATGTTAACATTAACAAACATTAACCCATCCCTTAGAAGTGTCCAACGCCAGGTTGGATGGATCTTGGAGCAACCAGGTCTCGTGGAAGGTGTCCTTGCCCATGGAAGGAGGTGGAATGGAATGGGATTCAAGGTCTCTTCCAACTCAAACTAGGGTGTGATTCCCTGATTCACACCCAATAATAAAACATCTGTGAGGAATTTAGTCTGATAGGACATTTACTCCTCAGATTGAGGTTGTGGAAATGTAGACATGAAGAATTCTGCTACTGAATTTTCCCACCAAATTAGAAAGTTTTTGTCTGTAGTAGTGTTAACTTAACAGCCACAGGAGATGACGGATGTGCCCAGGAAAGGCAGGCGTGCAGTGTTGGCTAAGGAAGGAATTCAGTGTTCCGGAATTGTTAACTGGGAATCTTTGCTAGAAAAACATCAAACACAGAAATAATGCTTGTTCCTTTGCTGAAAGAAACTTCTTCCAGGCAATAATTTTAGAAAGCTTACAACAAATAACTCATAATTTGTGCTTAGAGAACTTGGTGTTATAATGTAGCTGATGCTGAGTTTAACAGAAGTGGATTTTGTTTGTTTCTAATTGTGCAGATCATTGTGGATCTGGAAGAGGATTTGATTAGGAAAAGGAGAACAAAATCCTCACCTTTGTCAGACAGTGGCAAGAGGAGGAGAACTTCGATCAAATCAGCCACAAGTCCCGATTTAGAAATCACCAGCTCGAGTTCCAGTGCACTTAACAGGAGTGTTTCACCTCCACCAGCCTCACCACAGCCAAGTGTTCCCACTGGCTCTGTCGGAGTGTCCCAAGGGAGGGACTCGGAGCAGGACATATTCCCCCAGTACAGTAACACTACCCATCCAGAGATTTCTGTTTTAGTGACTTCTGTAGAGGGTACTTCCATTCTGGAAGGCTCTTTCCGAGATGATGCTTTCCCTGTGGCTCCCCCGGACCTGGATGAGACGATAAGAGATGAAAAAATCAAGCGACTGAAGCAGCTGCTGCGGGAGCGGGAGGCAGCGCTGGAGGAAATGCGCCGGGAAATGCAGCAGAGCTGAGACACCTGCCCTGGGGATCCCAGCCTCCTGCATCACCTCTTCATGACTTCAATAGGAAATCCCTTGCTTAAATTAATATTTCTGGTAGATGGAAGAACTAGATGAAGTTTTTGTGTATTTAGAGAACTGTAGGTCTTTGTTAAATGCCAGAAATAAGAGACTTGGACCATCAATTCTACTTCTGGGACATGATCCAAGAGCACGGACAAAGGGCATTTTTACCAGCCTATTTCCCATATTTTGAATCGAGGGGGTTCTGTATTAGTCTTAGCAAATAAACTTTCCCCTTTCGAATTCCATGGCCTGGCTCTTAGAATCCCAGTGCAAATTGCAAACCCTAGTTGTAAATACTTCTTTGTTTATTTTTCTCATGTGCATGAGAACTTTGATGAATTCCTGAGAACTGTCAATTTTCAGAAGAGGTCAACAGTCAGTGATTAATAAATGTTATTTAAAGGATCTGGGAATTAGACTTCAGACAGTAACAATGCAGATATTTATACAAAACCTCTTGCAGATGTGAAGACAGAGGCAGGAGGAGCCCTGTGACAGTTGTTTGGATTCATGGCTCTCCCTGTCATTATTGTGAGCCTTTATAAGGCCATGGCCAGCTGTGCAATGTGGAAATTCTCTTGTGGGGTTGTTTTGGTAGGGTGGGATGTATTTTTTTTAACAATTCTGTTAATAATAATTTCTTGATGCTAAAAGACTTCTTTATCCCTGAGTGATATCTTTAACAATCCTCAGTGAGTGTCTTTTAATTTGTTGTTGTTTGAACATGTCTCTTGCCACCTTCAGTAACGGTACCTTAGTTTGCCTTGTAGGAGGGGATGTGCCCTCAGACTGTCTTTGCATCCTAATTTTTATAGAACTTTGTGTGTATTTTCCCACCATGCTCTGTTGTGTGTATAGGGTTGCCTTTCCTTGTCCTCTGTTCTCTGTATCTTTGATCCTTGCAGGTTCCTTCTGCAGTTTTCAGTTTCCCTTCCACAATTAATAACTTTTTTTTGCCAGCAGAGTTTGTCATTGTTTTGTTCACTGGCTGAGCTCTGGTGCAGATTTATGTTCACGAGAGGCTGGTTTCTTCTGTCCTTGCTTTTGTTTTTATTCTTATCTTGTTTAATTTGTTTAAGCAAATTTTTGTCTGTGGGGTTTTCATTTGTTATCCCATGGGTGCCCAGTTTATCTATAGGGTTTTGATGGAGGATGGATGTCTCTTGGAGAGCTTAGTCCCATATTTCTTATTTATATAAGTTTTGACAGTGGGAAAAATTCCAGTGGATTGGAGAGACAGGAGAGGTTTTTACAAGGGAAGAAAGAGGAAGTTCCTGCTCTGAAGAATCACAGAATCAGAGATTTGGGGTGTAAGGAACCTTAAAGTTAATCTCATTCTACCCTCTGCCATGGGCAGAGACACCTCCCACTAGCCCAGATGGCTCTAAGCCCCATCCAGCCTGGCCTTGGACACTTACAGGAATGGGGAGAGCTTGAGCTAGACCAAGGTGATGGACCAGATGCACTGTGGTGAGTGAGGAGGGAAGGTGGATAATGAAAATAAACTCTGCACTGATTGAGATTACTTGGTAGAAGGGAAATGTGGTAGAACAAGGAAGTCAGGGTGGTACTGTGGTATCCATGGGCTCACTGTATGGAATGGGTGTTTTGGGACAGAATTGACTGTGGCCAACTCCCAGACACCCACCTGCTCCACTTGCTCCCCTCCTGTGGGATGAGGAAAAATGGACGAATGGAATTGTGGGTGGAGATAAAGGCAGTTTAACAGGTCAAGCAAAAACTGCTTGCACAAAAAGTAAAATTAGGAATTCAGTCACCACATCCTGTCGGCAGGCAGATCAGCCATGTCCGGAGTCTCTGTGTGCACAGTATTCACTTGGAAGACAAATACTGTGACCAGAAATGTGCTTCCATCCTCCTGCTTATATAAAGCTTTTATTTGCTGAGCACGGCCTCTTGTGGCATGGAATATCCCTTTGATCAATCTGGGAAGACTGTCCAGGCTGTGTCTGTTCCCAGTTTCTTGTCCATCCCCAAATTCCTGCCCATCCGAAGCCTGCCAGGAGGTGCACAGTGAGAGAAGGAGAAAACATAGATGTTGTGGAAGCTCTCCTCAAAATACGGGTGTGTAATCAGCAGTCTCCTCAAAATCCCAAGCATGGCATGACGTGTGGCTACTATGAAGGACATTGACTCTATCCCACCTGAAAGGATGAAGTGGGAATTAGGAAGGAGATGGAGGGAGCCTTGTGTCATGTGTCTGGTGCTGCAGTCTTCCAACAGGCTCTGCTTTCTTACTGTCCTCTAACAAATGTCTTTCCTCTATTTTCCAATGATCTCCAAAAAAATAAATGAAGCTGAGTTCTCTTATCCTTTTATTTCACTTGAGGATTCCAGCATTGACATTCTACAATGCACCATCTTCTTTCTCCCAGAACCTCTTTTACCCTAACAAAGTAGTCCATTTACCTGATTTTTTCACAGATATGATAAAATGCTCAAAGCTGGGAGAAGAATCCTCACTGCAAAATTTTAAAGAAATATGACCAGGATTTGGTGGAAGAAAGTGAATGGGCTGTGTCTAATATAGTGATGGAAAACACCTGGTGCAGTTCAAAAAAACAGTGAAACCAAGTATGGAAGAGAGAGATCTTCCTTGGAACAACATCAGTGCAAGGTTGGAGGGATCACTGAGAGCCAAGAGAATCCTCTTGATGTGCCAATGGGGGAAAAGAAAGTTGTGCCAAGAGAAGCAAAGGGGCTTCTGACAGCCAAGGACCTTGAGGCTGTTGGAGCTGCTTCTCATCCAGACTCGCCATCAGAAGCATGGATTGGATTTTGCTGCCCTGTTCATCCTTGAACTCCCACGATTCATGAAGAGACTGTGACAAGAACTAGAGTTCTGGGAATGCTGGCTGTCACCCCAGGAGTGAAGGTGACTGGTGGCTATCCCTGAGTGCAGCCCAGACTGGCAGGAAGGTGTTGCACACTGAGATTGCTGTGCTGAGTACATACGAAATCCATGAATTTAGGATGAGTTACAACTTATTTCAAGCAAATTCCGGGGAAGAATCAGTGGAAGACTTTTTAGGAGTTTCAGAGTCCAAAGAGCAGAGGTGGCAGTGAGTGTTCGAAAGAAGAGATCAGGAAGAAAAGATGGTGCTGGGCAAGTTGTCAACATCAACTAAACCTGGCACCTTGAAGTTCCTGGCCAGGGCTGTCCCTGTGCCTGTCTCCTGTACTGGAGACTCACCACAGCCCTGGAACTTCTATGTGAGGCACAAACCTTAACAGAGGTCTGTCCCAGACATAGAATCATTGGATCATTTAGATTGGAAAAGACCCTCAAGATCATCAAGTCTGACCATTAACCTGAGGTAGCTGAGCCCAGTGCTCACCCAGATCTGGGCATTGCCAGATGCAGCCCAGGAAGTCACCTGGGGATCGCTTTTAGGGGGCTGTACCAGGAACACCCATCAGATGAAGCTCTGGACAGACAATAACAATGTCCTGTTCACAACACAGCAGAGCATTATTGAGCTAGGAGGTTCTGGAATGCATTGAGGGTAAAATCCTTCTCCAAGTGAGAGGAGCCAGCAAGGGGAGGAGCTGTGCTGGACCTTGTTCTCACCAACAGGGAGGACCTGGTGGGAAATGAGAAGCTCAAGGGCAGCCTGGACTCAGCGAACATGGAATGGTAGATTAAGGATCCTCAGGGCAACAAGGAGGGCACAGTGAGTCCTGGGATTCAGGATGCCTCTTCAGGGATCTGCTTGGTTGAGTTTATAAATAAATAAATAAAGCCCTAGAAGGAAGAGGGGCTCAGGAGAGCTGGTTGATATTTAAGGATCGCCTACAAGCTCAGGAGTGACGCATCCCAAGCACAAGGAAGTTGGATAAGAACTCCAGGAGGCCTGTGAGGGTGAACAAGGAGCTGCTGGACAAACTCAGAGTGTAGAAGCAAGGACAGACAGCCTGGGAGGAATGCAGAGGGATTATCTGAGTAGCCAGGGATCAGGTTAGGATTCCGGCTAGGAAACCTGAAGCCCTGGTAGAATTAAATCTGGCCAGGGGTATCAAGGGCAACAGAAGAGCTTCTACAGGTAAATTGGTGATAAAAGGAAAACTGGGGGAAATGTGGGCCCTCTCCAGAAGGAAACGGGATGCCTGCTTACCCAGGAGATGTAGAAGGCCGAGGTTCTTAGCATTTGTGCCTCAGTCTTCACTGGGAAGTCACCCAGTCACACCACCAGAGTCATGGGGCAAAGGCAAGGACTGGGAGAAGGAAGCACCATCCACAGTAGGAGAATCACAGAATCCCAGAACCTTTAAGGTTGGAACACCCCTCTAAGGTCATCAAATCAAACCTGTGTCATCGAGTCCAACCTGTGACCAATACCTACCTGGTCACTCAGCCCTGAGTACTGGGTGCCACGTCCAGGCACTCCTTGGACATCTCCAGGGATGGCAACTGCATCATCTCCCTGGGAAGCCCCTTCCAATGCCTGACCACCCATTCCAGGAAGAAACTCCTCGTGATGTCCAACCTGAAACTTTCCTGGTACAACTTGATGTACCTCTTGTATGTTTCCTCTTGTGCTGTCCGTTGTTCCCTAGGAGCAGAGCCCAACCCTCCCTGGCTGACCCCTCTTGTCAGGGAGTTGTGGGGAGGTAAAGGGTCCCCCCCAAACCTCCTTATCTCCAGGCTGGGCTGCCCAGCTCTCATTCATTCCTAATAGGACTTAGGCTCCATACCCTTCACCAGCTCCATTCCTTTCTCTGGACTTGAGAAGAAAAAATTCAGGAATATTTAGGGAATGTGAAAGTGCAGAGATTTGTGGGACCTGATGAGATGCATCCATGGATTATGGGGCAACTGGCAGAGGAAGTTCCTAGGCCACTCTCCATCATATTTGAGAAGTTGTGGCAGTTCAGTGAAGTTCCCACTGACTGGAAAATGGAAAATTTGACCCTATTTTTCCAAAGAGAAATAAGGCAGATGCAGTGCACTACAGGACAATCAGTCACACTGGTGACAGCAAGATCATGGAGAAAATCCTTCTGGAAACTGTGCTAAAGGCACATGGAAAATGTGATTGGTGACAACCAACATGGCTTCTCTGAAGACAAATTGTGCCTGACAAATTTGGTGGCCTTGTTTGACAAGGTGACAGTGCTGGTAGGTGAGAGCAGAGTGACTGACATCCTCCACCTGGACTGTGCAAAGCATCATAGCAGGACAGCCTTGTCTCAAAACTGGAGACACATGGATCTGATGGGTGGAACACTCCCTGGATGGTGGCACTCAAAGGGTTGTGGTCTGCAGCTGTAGATGAGGATGTCCGAGTGGAGCCCAGTGACAAGTGGTGCCCCCTGGGGTCAGTGTTGGGACCAGTGCTGTCTTTGTCACTGACATGGATGAAGTGGGATTGATGCACCCTCACCTGGTCACATATGGGAGGGAAGGGGTGGGGCATCCAGAGGGACCTGGATGGGCTGGAGAGGTGGGATGGTGTGGACCTCATGAAGTTCAACAAGGCCATGGACAAGATCCTGCCCCTGGGTTGGCACAGCTCCAAGCTGGGGGATGAATGGAGCAGCCCTGAAGAGAAGGAGCTGGGGGTGTTGGTGGATGGGAAGCTCAACAGGAGTGACTCCATCAGTGATGAGGGAAGGCTGACAGATGTCATTTATCTGGACTTCTGTAACCATTTGATGTGGTTCTCCCCCAGTGTATTTCACTACATTGGAGAGATGGATTTAACGGGTGGACTGTCAGGTGGATGCGGAATGGATTGGATGGTCACATCCAGGCAGTTGTGGTCAATGGCTCAGAGTCCCAATGGACATCAGTGATCAGTGGTGTCCCTCAGGGGTCTGTACTGGGACCAGCGTTTTTTAATATCTTCGTTAATGACAAATGAAGGGATCTAGGGCACCCTGAGCAGGTTTGTAAGTGACACTGAGCTGAGGGGGCAGGGACACCCCTGAGGGAAAAAGTGATTGAGAGGGACCTGGACATGCTCGGAAATGACCCATGGGAAACTCAGGAGGTTTCACAAGGCCAAGTTCCAGGTGCTGCACTTGGGTCAGGTTGACCCTGGGATGGATCCAGGCTGGGGATGAGCAGATGTAGCAACCTTGGCAGAATGACTTGGGGATGGACATGCCTCAGCCCAGAAACCCCCCAAGCCCTCAACTGATCCCTCAGTGTTGGGCAGCAGGGCAGGGGGGTTCTGTCCCTCTGCCCATCTCAGGTGAGACCTCACCTGCAGATCTGCCTCCAGCCCTGGGGGCAACAGCAGGAGAAGGATGTTGAGCTGCTGGAGCAAGAGGAGGCCGTGGAGATGCTCTGGGGGATGGAGACCCTCTGTTCTGGAGCCAGTCTGGGAGAGCTGGGGGTGTTCACCCAGAGACCCTTCCAGTGCCTAAAGGGGCTCCAGGAGAACTGGAGAGGCGCTTGGGACAAGGGATGGAGTCACAGGACAAGGGGCAATGGCTTTCCAGTGCCAGAGGGCAGAGTTAGATGGAATATTGGGAAGGAATTCCTCCCTATAAGGGTGGTGAGGCCCTGGCACAGGGTGCCCAGAGAAGCTGGGCCCATGCCTGGAAATGTCCAAGGTCAGGTTGGATGTGGCTTGGAGCAATCTGGGATAGTGGAAGGTGTCCCTGCCCATGACACAGGGGTGGAATTAGATGATCTTTAATGTCCCTTCCCACCCAAACCATCTTGGGATTCTGTGAATCAAGATCTGAGGACTGTCCACAGAATAAATCCTGGGGCAGAGCTGAACCATGGCCACCCACAACAGCTCAGGCCAGAGCTGGATGCTCAAGCTTGGGTTCATGTGGGGCTCATGGGTATGAGTGTGTGAGGAGGTCCCAGGGGGCTGGTCAGGGCAATTCAGGTGTACTAATGGATCCTCTAAGTCTGTTCAGTGCTTGGCTGCTCGGGCATTGGAGGGGGCTGCCCAGGAAGCTGGTGGAGGCACCATCCCTGGAGTTGTTTAAAGGGTACCTAGATCTTGCTGGGTGATGTGATTTAGGGGTTATGGGGCTACAGTGGCAGTGTGGGTTGGACTTGGATGGATGGAAGGTCTTTTCCAACCATGATGGGAGGTGGGAACCAACCCATACCCTGGATCATGACTATGTTGGTCGGGCTGCAGAGAAGGGGGAAAAGGCAGGGATTCACTGGGGGTGTGTAACTCTGGAGCAGCTGGGAGCAGGGAGCTGCTCCTTGGTGCTGCTCATCCCTGTCTCTTGGCAAAAGGTGAGACTGCAGGAGGAGGTTTTTCCTGGCACTGAGGAGGTTGTTAAAGAGAGAAGAGTTGGATGCCCTGAGGCTAAACTTCCATGGACCTGCAGATGAGCAGGAATCCCAGCACATGGTGCTGGGCTGGTAGGGGAAGAGTGAGGGGGCTTTGGGAGGGATTAATTGTAAACCCAGCAATGTACTGGTTTGGGGAGTAAAATCAGAATCTTTGAGGTTGGAAAAGCCCTCTGAGATCATGGAGTCCAACTGTTCTCCAGCACTGCCAAGGTCACCATTAATCATGTCCCCCAAGTGCTACATCCACATGGTTTTCTTAAATCCCTCCAGGACTGGTGACTCCACCACTGTCATGGGCAGCTGTGCCAGGGCTGGATAACCCTTTTGGGGAAGGAATTTTTCCTAATGTCCAACCTAAACGTCAGTTTGCCCTGGCTGGCTCATCACAGTGACATCAAGTTATAGAGAAATTTCTGTTCTCTGGGGCAGGAATTGCTTCTGGGAGCAGCAGGTTGGATGTCTGTTGTCAGGATCAACCTCTCCATGTTTCACAGGAATCCATGGAGAAAGCAGTGAAGGAGAGGTGAGGAAAGCCCTGGGAGCAGACAGATGCCTTCTAGATCCTCCTTGAAAGCTACATGAATGAATCAATTGGGGTGTTTTCTTCTCCTCCCATCATATCAGGCAAAGAGCTCTCTCCCTCCTTCTCCACAGGGATCCCATCACTGTTGGGACCATCTCTTTCTTAAACCATTTGTCTAATGAGCCTTGAGGGAGGTAAAGGATTCTCCTGCTGAAGCATCACATTTTCTAAATTGGAGCAGTTAATCAGGAACTGGGGTTTACCTATTCCCTGCTTAGGAACTGTGTGGGCAAGTGTGCAGCTCTCCAGGGCAGCTGGGATCCCTAAGGATTCATCATCAGGTAAAGTACAATACTTGCGAAACGTTCCCAGGCCGTGGAGCCCAGGGTTCTTTGTGACTTCATGTGAATCACATCCACCTGTCCTTTCACCCCACTGCCCTCAGCAGTATGGCATCTTTTGGCCCCAAATGTTGTTTCCACCCTGTGGATTGTCTGAACTCTGGCTGAACCAGGCTGGAAATACAGTAACAGAGATGGAGACATCCCATTTAAATCTGGGAGAAAGAAGCTACTCAGGGAACTGTTGGGGTTTCCAGGAGACCTCCAGCTTAGATTCATTCCTCTCCTGGTGCTTTGCCTGCTCCTCTGGGAAGGGAAGATGCCAATGGAGGGGATTCTGGTGCGGGAGGAAATGGGCTGGAGCTCATGTACAAGCCTTGAGAAATAACTTGGGAAGGGAGCTGAGGTATTCCTACCAAGCAGGGTCAGAGGCAGCTGTGCAGGTGCTTAGTAAGTCTGTGTGCAATCAAATATCCCCTTAATCTGCTGTACGTTGGTAGAATTTGAGATACTTGGTTTTAAAGCTTCTGGCTTGGTCTTGGCATGACTGTGGAGTGTGGGAGGTTGTCCCTATGGATTGACCCTGGAACCAGGTGGTGTTCTGGCACTTAGAGGCTCGTGGAGCTCGGCTTCTTAAGTATAGACACTCCACAGGGTTGGGATATAGGCTGTCAGCACTGTGGGAGCTGCTGGAAGCAGCTGGAGGAAGGAGCAGCTGGCTTAGGTTGGAGGCTCTCAGGGAGCACCAGGGATGTCGAGGACATGAGAACAGGGGTTGCATTCTGGGGTATTTAAGGGACAGCTCTTGGCATGGGAGGGAACAGGACATGGGCTGCCTTGGCCAACTCTTCCACCTGTGCAACAGGGACACTTGGCATGAGAATTCCTGGGTCAGCCTGCCTGTCAGCTCCAACAATTGCCAGGGAGAGGGAGGGAGGGAAGGAGGGAGGAAAGGCCAGGTCGGACAGGGCCTGGAACAAGCTGGTCAAGTGGAAGGTGTCCTTGCCCATGGCAGGGGGTGGAATGGGATGGGCTTTAAGGTCCCTTCCAAGCCAGACCCTCCTGGGATTCCATGGCTGTGTGGTTCCTGCTGTCACTCCTCTCCAGAGCCAGCACAGGGCTGCCCTTCCAGCAGGAGGGAGCTGCTCAGCTCTCTCTGGACCTCCAGAGCAGGCTATGGTGTGAAGAGGTTGCTCAAAGGATGGGGTGGCTTTGGGGTCCATCCCGTCTGGCCCAAAGTGCAGGCCATGGATCAGCCCCTTGGGCCCAAAGGGAGCAGAGGTGAGGCTGGAGGCTCCACCATCCAAAAGGATTTGGCCTGAGGAGCACTGGAGAGAGGAAAAAATGGGTGTGGAGGAAGAGACGAGGAGACACAACTCATGAATAACCTTCATTTAATCCTTCATGACATTGGAAAATGTAGAAATGTCACAGACTCATTTACAGTACTGGTAACATTTGCATTGCTGTGGGTTAATAGCAAAGCCCTCGATGTCAAGTACAAGACAATCACTTCATATTTTTTTTAGTATAAAATAAATGTTTAGAAATAACAGCTGTTATTGCTATTCAATTCCTGAGTTCTCTCCATCCATCAGATGCTCCCTGCTACGAGCAGTGCCTGCTCCTCTGCCCTGAAGCTCCCTGGGCTCTCGTGCAGGGTTTGGCCCTGCAGGCTGACCACGGCTTGCAGGGAGATTTTCTGTGGAGGGAAGGCAAAGGGAGTCCCCATGAGTGGCTCCTCTCTGCCTTGGCATGGAAAGTTCAGAGGCCAGAGGAAACACCAAAGGAAACACCAACAGATCAGCTCAGAACCATGTGCTTGGCTCCTAGCTGTGCTCTGGACTGGCTCCATCATTTGCCTTGTCCTGTAGGAAAAGGCCCCTTTGGCTGTGACAGGTCTGGAAGTGAAGCCAGTCAGGGCCAGTCAGGACCAGTCAAAGGCAGCCTGATGCTGGAGCTGTGGTTACACAGCAGGGACAGACTCTATGGGGGTCACTTAGAGTTGCTCATGGGTGTCCAGCCCTGGTGACTGATTATGCCAGGTTAATGGCTGGACTCCATCACCTTAAAGGTCTTCTCCAACCAAAACAATTCCATGAGCCCATAAAATCTAAGGCTGCCCTGCTGCACCACACTGGGCTATTCAGAAACAGAGAACAGTAACTTCCTTTTTACCTGGAAGTCACGGATGTAGGTGAGGAAGAAGCTGAGGAAAGAAAATGCCAGTGACCACTCAGAGACAGTGCTGATCATGTGGGGGGTGTAGCCCTGTGTAAGAGAGGGAAAAAAATCCATGTGAAAACTGCTCTGGAACCTGCAGTGGCACAAGGATGGCTTGTGACATCCCATGTGAGATCCTACATCCACAACTATTCCCACTGGAGACCAAGTGGTCTTGTATCTGGAGTCTCCAAGAATGAAGTGCTGAAGAATGAGAATGACCAGAAAAACACCTGCTTTCACTGGGAAGATGCCCACTGGGAATTGCCCACCTGAAAAACCTGAAGGCTCAATCCAGAGCTCAATGAACAAAGAGAAGGGAGGTTCAAAGCTCTCCTCAAGATGCAGGAGGGATTAATTTAGAGTTACACTTGAAGATCCAACAGGTTTGTGAGATAAGAACTTCAGCAAGTACTGGCACAGGTTGCCCAGAGAAGCTGTGGCTGCCTCATGCCTGGAAGTCCAAGGCCAAGTTGGACAGGGCTTGGAGCAACCTGGGAAAGTGGGAGGTGTCCCTGCCATGGCAGGGGGTGGGACTGGGCAGGTTTTAAGGTCCCCTCCCACCCACCTCAGTCTGGAATTCTGAGGAGCTAGCAGCTGGTTCAGCTGGCCCAGCTCGTCTCGTCTCGTCTCCCACCCCAGTCTGTGTCATGAGCTGCAGGAAGTTCTCACTTGTCCCTCCAAATCCAGCAGGACTTAGTCTCCATTTCCCCCCACCATCACTTACTCTTTCCTGGGGTTCCCAGTGCAGCTTCTGCACCAGGTTCTGTCCATACAGGCCACTGTACAACACAACCGAGGACACAAACACTGAGGGAAGAGGTTAAGGAAGATTCAAGGCCAAGAATGAGGAATGTGGAACTTGCAGTCAAGGTTGTGTCAAGGCTGAGGTCTCAGCCTGAGGAGCAATAATGGTGTCATGGACTGTTCACATTGTGCCCTTCAACCCATAGCTTGTCCCAAGCCACTGCTTACTGTCATGTCATGGAAGTGTTTAAGCCATGATTACATGTGAGCACTTATTGAGCATTTTACTTTAATTTTACTGGTATTTACCACCCTAATAAGAGTCTAGATCTCTTTTTCTGATGGCTTTTCAATGTCTCAACCAACTTGCATTCTTGCTGTGGGCCACAGGTTGGAATTCTGTATCACCTGCAGCAAAGAGGAGTTTTGGCTTTTCTGTTTCCCTCTTGGTCAAGGTTTGAGAAGTGCTTTGGAGTTCACCCATGTGAAAATGATCCCCCATTTATTCCAAGACCTTGATCTTTCTGGAGTGTTTGATGTCAGTTTTTCAACAACTTACAGAAGGAAGGTACACCCAGAAAAGTGCTCCTGCAACACAACAAATGAAACTCAGATAATGAATTTGTTGACGACCTGATTTTCAGAGGATTAAGATATTAACTTCTTCAGTGGTTAATGAGATTAAACATCAAGAGCCTCCTGATGTGAAAGATTAATTTTGATGGTGAACAAGGCTGGACTTCCTGGCACAAACATGGCCTTAACAACCCAGACTTCCAAAGCTTATTAAAAAATGGAACATGAGTGGTTTAGGAGCTCTGGTTACTGACTGGACCACAGACACCCAATCTTCTGCTAACCGAACTGGACAGCTGCAGGAACTGTTTGTTATCTGCCCGAGTTCCTGCTGCAGTGGCAAGAATTTAATCATTGTGATATAAAAAACCCTGGTTCTCTCTCCCTTCCCCCATTACAGTGGTTCATCAACTGCCTTGCTCTGGGCTGGCAGTTCTGCTACACTCCACCACAGGACCAAGAGTGTTTCCATAGATCTAGAGAATTGTTTAGATTGGAGAAAGACCTCTGAGGTTGAGTCCAATTGTTCCCCAAGGCCAAGGCCAGCACAAACCCATGTCCCTAAGTGCCACATCCACGTCTTTTAAATCTCTCCAGGGATGGTGACTCCATCACTGCCCTGGGCAACTTATTCCAGTGCCTGGTTAACTCTTCCAGCTTTTTTTTTTTGTTTGTTTGTTTTCAAATATCCTACCTGAACCTCCCCTGGCCCAGCTTGATGTCGTTTCCCCTGGCCCTTGCTCCCTGGCAGCAGAACCTGATCTCTCCTGGCTGTCCCCTCCTGTCAGGGAGTTGTGCAGAGCCAGAAGGTTCCCCCTGAGCCTCCTTTTCTCCAGGCTGAGCTCCCCCAGCTCCCTCAGCCACTCCTGGTGCTCCAGACCTTTCCCCAGCTCTGTTCCCTTCCCTGGACACGCCCCAGCCCCTCAGTGTCTCTCTTGTCAGGAGGGGCTCAGAGCTGTGCCCAGGGCTGGAGGTGCCCCAGCAGTGCCAGCACAGGGGACAGGCATTGCTGTGACCCAGAGCTGACACAAAATACATTTTCTTCTGTCTTCCAGTACCTGTTACAATCATTTAACTCAAGGCCACAGACTTCTCCCTTTCCCCATCTTTCCCTTTTACATTATGAGCTGTTAATTTAGAACAATAATTTCCCTTTTCTTCCCCTTTCATTGTTATATATGTACACATCATTATTTCTACTACTTCCCTATAATTTTGGTTAGACTACCTTGGCACAAAAAGCTCTACAGATTTGAGGTTTGTGGGCTTTTGGCATCAGTAAGAGAAGTGTAACTTGCAGCAGATCATACATAGAACGTATTTTAGTTTCCTCCTAGTTTGGTTCCTCCCTATTCAAAGCTGAAAATCTTGTTTGCTAATAGCAAAAAATTTATGTTAAATACAACAATTCTCCACGTTTCTTGGATGACGTCCTTGCTGTCTGCCAAGGCCCTCAGCAGGTGAGGGTCCTTCATGATGGATAACAATGCCCCACTGTCCCTGCTCCTTTGACTCCTACAGATGCTAAAATCCTGCAACAGCAGGATGGGAGCCCAGCAAGATGCTCCAACATTGGGAAATGGGACATATAGTTTAGTGTTGGTATTGGCTGCCAGACAGGAAATAAGGGATTGGTGGGGATTGTACCAGTGGCCTGGATACAGCTGCAGATCGAACAATGGTTAAGCAATGGGTTTTGCAACTTGTGTCTCCGGAATTCAGGAAGTTTGGTGGTGGGGTTCTGTTTGGCACAAAAACTGAGTTTAATTTTTAAATCCAGGTGAGCAAGGGAACTGTTCAGGTGCAGTTTCTTAACTGCTTCAATGATTCGAGAGAGGAAAAAGGCCTCTATTTTTGAGAGGGTTTGCCCACATTTGTTATATAAATATATGGATAAACGGGAATGGATTCCCACTGTGAGAGGGCAGGACTAGAAGATCCCTTCAATCCAAACCATTCTGTGTTTCTCTCTTTCTCTAAACCCCACAGCTGCTTCCAGCACTTGGAATTCAGAGCTAAAGGGGGTGATGGATTCCGATGCCAAGGGAAGGTGTAGGGAATGCCAGTCAGAAATATCTTGTCTTTTGAACTGCAGGATGGGCAAGGAGGAGATCAGAGGTCAAAGTCCCCCCTCTTGAAATGTTCTGCAGACTTGTCTTTCTGGCAAGTGCCAGCACACCATCCCTGTTCTAGAGCCAGCTGGCACAGCCAGCCCTGGCTCCACATGGTCTGTTAAGAGTATTTCCTCTTGTACTACATTCTGGGTTTCATTTTTAGTTGTATCCAACTCTAACACTCTGCACCATTCCTGCCCTCAAGAATACACTTTTATTTCTTACCTGTTCTTTTCCCCCATTGAAACCATCCACCCCTTAAGCATACTTCCCTTTGGCTCCATATTTCTTAATTTAGTCAGACCTCTTGGGGATAAACTCTTATTTTCAGTCTCTGGTGTGCAGTAGGAAAGGAGAGGAGAAAGGGTAGTAACCATCCCTCTTACCTTTTTTTTTTTAATATCCAGGGGGGATATTAAAAGTATTAAAAGGGATTAACCATTTTCCCTGAAATTCCCAGGATGGACTACAGAACAGGGCACGCTACAGGCTATACCATCAAGGATGACAGGCCTCTTGTGCCACATGGTGGTGGTCAGTTCAAGTAGGTGTAAATCCTGTGGAGGCTGCTGGGTTTTGGTGTCACTGTCCAGGCAAAGGATACTGCTCAGGATGCTGCAACAGCTCCACAGGAACACGGCCAGGCGGGCCCAGAAGATGTCTTTGCTATGAAGTTCTGGCTGCATCAGGTAAGACAGGATGGTCTGAACCAGCATGTAAATGGACCCCACCCCGAAGGTCAGGCAGGCTCCCAGCACGTGGATGTAGTACAGGATACATTTCTAGGGAAAGGAAGTGCTGCCTGTGAAAACTTGGTTTCATTTTCTTCTCTAAACCTCTGGCATCCACTCTTCAGTGCCCTTCGCCCATCCCCAGCCAAGCAATTCTGGACTGTGACAATGCTCAGGAGACTTTTTCTTGGATGCCCCATTGGGAGATGCCTGGAAGCCAGGACCTGCCAGACTCTGGAGTTTCTGCTTTTGTTAAGTTCTTGTGGTTAAGTTACAACTATACCTTCAGTACAGGAATTTGTGAGAGCTCTTCTCATACATGGACAATATCACAGGAACTGGGTGAGAAAATCCCTGCAGGAGGGCAGGGAATGGGAGTGACAACATCTCTACTCTAGGAACGTGTGCATGTATAAAAAGATTATGTGATAAGAAAGATTATGTATTACAGAACAGACACAACATGATATAATACCCAATTTTGGATTAAAAATAATAAGGTTTTGCATTTCTCTGAATGAACTCCCGCTTGAATAAAGATTGTTTGTCAAATTAGTATCTTGGAATACTCTGAGGGAACAAGGTTCAATCAGGTAGCAGTACTTAAAAACACTACCAGGAGAACCAAGTGTCAAATAGCAAAAATAACTAAAACCAGAAGATATTCCAAAAACCCCTAAACTAAAAATTTGTTATTAAAATATATGTGTGTGAAAACCCATGTGTGTTCAGCCCTTTCCTCTCATCCCCAGCTTAGCACACGAGCCAGAGACAGGGAACAAAAGTGTCATCTGACCTGCTGCTCAAGGCAAGGCCTGGCAGCCTCCTGCACCCCAATTTTGCAGATGTTTTCTGCCCTAAAGCATGAGGTTCTCTGTGTATTTTACTGAATAACTCTTAAGATCAAGCTTTTCCTTGTGCACTTTCTGTGCACAAATGAATTTTTAAGTGCTGCATCCACAGTGAGAATTTCTATTTAAGAAATAAGCAGGTTGCAAAGGTGTATGCTCCAAAATCATGTGCTGTGCAGGGAGGGGTCAGCAGAGAGAAATTCTCTATTTTCACACTTTGGGGTCTTCAATCACCAGTGGATTTCAGGGCAATATACAGGTGCATCACCTCCAACTTTTTTTTTGCTCAAGATTAAATGATACACGAACTTTTATCAAATTAACATGCACCTCCTGGGTTTTGATTGTTGTGAAATACAAAGAAAGTAGAAAAACCCTTTCTTGAGGGAAGTGGAGGGAAATCATAGAGTTGAGCAGAGCCTGGAGGATTCTTCTTGGTGGGTGTGGAATGGGAGGCTGGGACATCTGAGGGCTCCAGAAAATAGTAAATAGGTTGAGGCCTCCAAAAGAAAAAAATGACCAGAATGAGAGTGCTGAGGTTTCTAAGACAGGGTCTGCTGAAGCACTTGAGGACCTGTGCTAGGGAAAAGGTGGAGCTTCCCATAAGCTTTTCCTCTTTGGTTTTCCCTGTCCTAAATCCAGCAGGAACCCAAGGTGACACCACAGCCTGTGGTGGCTACAGGGACCACAACAGAGCCCCAAAATCCATCAGGTAATTAATGTAATAAGGATGGCAATTATACAATCACATGGAAAATAAAGCCAACGACAGGAACCTGCTCATGGTGTGATGGGTGAGAATATCAGATTTGGTTTTTTGGAGTGGAAAGTATTGGGGAGAAAAAAAAATAGAGACCTGGGATGGAGAAAATCAGAAGAATTAATGTTGCAGAATTTTCAAGAATTTGAGAAGGATTGAAGGAAAGTCTACCTGAGGGCAGGTTTTCCAGAGCTGGGCTTCTGGGGTTGGGCGGTTTTGTTGCTTTACTTCTAGTTGTAACAAGGTTTTACTATCTGATACCTGATTCTCCTCATTCCTGAAAGTTGTGGGCTTTCAATATGGATCTCAGGCTTTTAACCCACCTGGACTGAGATCCAAGTGTGGTGTCTGCAATGCTTGGTGGTTATGAATGTTTTGATATGTCATGAACAGCTGCTCACAAGTCCCAAAGCAAATAAAGAATAACTAACAAATTATAAGTCAAACTTTATAATTTTTAACCATTCTCTGTAAAGAATTTGCCAAAAAAGCAGTTTGTCAAGGAAAGCTGCTTTCCATAAATCCCCAGTTTATCAGGGATCTCAGAACAGATACAGCTCTGGCAGGAGCAGAGCAGAGCAGGCAGAGCACAAACCTGGAAATTGGCAATAATGCAGAGTCCAAAGCAGCTCATCCATCCCAGCCTGAGGCCCAGCTTATTCAGCCTGAGGATCTTGGGTTTCTCTGGGCTCAGGGCAGACACCTGCTTGTATCGCACGTACATGGTGGCCATCCCTGCCAAAGAGAGCCACAGGCAGTAAGATTCCTGCTGGGGAGCAGTGCCCTTGTTTACCTGGGAGGATGCTGAGTGACAGAGGCAACTCTTAAAACACAAGAATTTTTTTTAGGGCACAGTGAAATAGGAAAGCTGAAAGGCTGGAAATAAAAATGGAAATAATAGAATGGCAAACAAGTCAAATTAATAGATTTTTCTGATCTATTTAATTTAAAAACCATATTAGGTTGTTTTTCCTCTCCATTGCTGCAGCACAGGTAAGGTGACTGCCTTCAATTTGAATTTTTATTGCTTTTACTTTTCTGTTCGTTTTTTTAATGCATTTTTTGCCCTTCTGGAATCCGCAATTGCCATACTGGCAATTTGTGGATAACATCCCTGACACACACTTTGAATTGCTTAAGAGAATTCAGATTTATTGCTCAGTATTTAGTTTTTTAGTAAGAAATCTGGGCTGTTTAATGATCTGGAGAAGGAAGTGAACTTGTTTAAAGCTGTTGCATTCCAGAACTGCCTGCAGCTCACCAAAGACAGCTTTCTGTACTCACCCAAGAAAGTTGAAACGTTTAACATGATCCCAAATAAGCATCTTTCAGGTGGTATTGTCCCTGTATCACTGGAAAAGATAAATGGAGTGATACATCTCCTATATTATCTATATCTATATTAAAAATACTTCCAACGAAACTTTACTTATTTCAGACTACAAAGGACATGTAAAAAAAGCCCCTCCCAGATGTTTTTCGCTGAATTTTTCATTACTCAAACTGTGCTGTGCTGGTTTTAGAGCTGTAGAAATCACCATGGTAAAGACAAGCTAGCCTTGGAGCAGGGAATGATCATGCTCAGAGTAACTGTTCCTTTCATATCGATCTTGATGCCATAAAAGGTGAATAGAAAGAATAGAAATGTGAATAAAACTTGAAAAATGAAGAACATGAAAAACTGAAAGAGCAAAGCCTGAGTAATATATATCATTAATGGAATACAGTTGGCACTGTAGATTTTAGTGTGGATTTACTGGTGCAACAAACCTGGTGGCAGTGAGTGGCTTCACTCTGAGCAGGGGTGTGGTGAGGCACCCCCGTTCCCTTGTTCAGAATCATTTTAAGGGTATGTTCACAGAGCCAAAGCTTAGAGTTTTGCACAAAACCAGACACCTTTAAATACAGTAACACACAAATCCTGGAATGGGTTGGGCTGGGAGGGACCTTAAAGCTCATCTCAACTATCTCCAACCAGGGACACCTTCCACTAGCCCAGGTTGCTCCAAGCCCTGTCCAACCTGGCCTTGGACACTTCCAGGGATGGAGCAGCCACAGCTGCTCTGGGCAACCTGGGCCAGGGCCTCACCACCCTCACAGGGAAGGAATTTCTTCCTAACATTTAACCTGAATTTCCCCTCTGTCAGTTCAATATTCCCTGTAAACATATATATAATTGTTATAAACAGTAACTTTAGAACTGGAGCTGTTGGGTAGGAGCTGCTATTTAAGTCTGGAGTTGGGAAGAATTCACAGGAGTGGGATCAGTTCAGTTCTCTGACACAGGGTGGACATCACTGACCTGATGTAGGGCACCAAAGGGTCAACGTGGTGTAGGACAATTGCAGTAATGTAGGAGAACACAAATGATGCTGCTGACCACACGACCAGCGCCACGGGCAGGAACGAGAGGCCCTGCTGGAACCACCACATTTCAGAGCTGACTTCTGCCTCCAGACACTGTGAAGAACCAAATGCAAAGGTTTACTGAGTTCTCTAACATTTACTGAGAGTCTCAAATTTACTGAGTTCTCAAGGGTTTACTGAGAGTTCTCAAAGGTTTACTGAGATTCTCAAAGGTTGACTGGATTTTACTATGAGGACTCTGAAGTTTTGTTTTCCTTCAGGCAGACTGCTTCCCATACAACAATTTGATATTGCTCTGAGTCCTCTCCTGAAAACCCAAACTGAACACTGACTTCACAGAAGAAATCATAAATAAGCAGAATTAATTCTGGAAATGTTAATTTCTGAAATTCTTAGAAGAATATTAGAAACCAGTACTGTCATTTTACTACATGGCTTGGATGTGTTGCTGCCAGAAAAGGGTCAAGTGGGTCACTGCGAGTAAGTGACTCCATTTTCTTGTCAGTCTTGTGTCACAACACCAGGTCAGTAGAGTGAGCTGACAGAGAACGTGTCCCTGCACTGACACTGCAACTAATGGTGGCTGTGGTGGAGCCTCCAGCTCCTACTAACACTTGGCTGGGTAGATGTGGAGGAAATTACCCCAAATTACTTTAATATCTGCCCTCAATTATTCCCTATCAGACTGTGTGACTCGACATCTGTTATAGAGTCCCAGGGCTGGAAGGGAATTTAAACCTCACCTTGTTCCACCCCCTACCATGGGCAGGGACACCTTCCACTACCTTCCACTAGCCCAGCTTGCTCCAAGCTCTGTTCAACCTGAACTTGGACACTTCCAAGGATGGGGCAGCCACAGTTTCTCTGGGCACCCTGTGCCAGGGCTTCCCCACCCTCACAGAGAGGAATATCCCAATATCCCATCTAACCCTGCCATCCTATAGTTGCACACACATAAGTTTTATTTGCTATTCTTTGCTTCAGAGTTTCATTTCCTTGTCTCTCCATAATGGGCTGATGGGCTCTCTTAAAGCACTGGGAGGTTTCCTGGGCTCACTGTGCTAATGTTGAGCAAGCAGCTCAATTTCCCCACTTCTCTTCCTCCCATCCTGTCTAGATTTGGGTATTGCCAAGGAGAAGCCTGTGCTGAGGCACCTCACAGAGCGGGACAGAAAATTACTGTCATTCTGCAGCAATTTTTTAAAATTAGTTTGTTTTTAAAATTTATTAATGTTTAGGATGAAATGTCAGTGAAAATATAAAAACCCCCATATTTTGGAGGAAATTAAAACCGATGTGCTGTTTAAATCACTGCGTTTATTCTATGCTGTAAAGTTAACTTTTGGAAGGTATCACTGATGGAGGTTTGAGAATATAAACACAAGTCTTTTGTGGAGAGTGAATCAGAACTTTCCCATGGATTGTAGTATCAATAATAACAATACTGATATTGACAGTGCAGGGGCACCTTTCACTAGAGCAGGTTGCTGAGCTCCATCCAGCCGGGCTTCCAGCCTGACCTCTCAGCTACCTGAGCTCACTGCTACCAACCACAACCCTCAAAGTCAAGGGTTGCTCACAGCATTGCTGTTTTACAGCTGGGAGTAAAAGCTCCACGTGCAGTGCAGTGAAATGATGACTCTGTACTCACACTGTCCAGTTCCCTAAATCCCAGTCAGACAGCAAATCTGTGTCTCACCCCAGTTCTCTAAGAGCAAGAAGTGCCATCCTGGTGAGCTCACATAGACAGAACTGTGCCTCCTCGCTACTCTTGATGCAAAAGCAATTTGCTACTAGCTTCAAACACAACCAGAGCTATTCAGCATCCCAGAGTGGCTGAAGGGGAGAAGGAGCTCTGCAAATCACCTGGGCCATCCCCCTGCTCAAGCAGGTCCACCAGAGCCAGTAGTGCAGGATGACACCTCACGGATGGAGATAACACAACCTTTCTGGGCAGCCTGGGATGACCAGTGCCAGTCACAATCACAAGGAAAGAATGTTTCCTGATGGTCAGTGGAGAGGAGAAGTGTTTCAACCTACTTAAAACTGGAGACTGCAAATGGAAGAGGAAAAAGGACACAGGTGAAGAGCAAATAATTGAGAGTGCATATCCAAGGACATCTAGGCAAAGATCTGCATGTGAGAAAAGCAAAATAATGTTAAAAAATTAGAAGGAAGTACTGAGAGGTTTTAGAAGGGCATGGCCTGGGGTGGAGAGGCTGAAAGAATGGAAGAAGAGAAAAGGAAGAAAGAGGAAGCACCAAGACTAGAAAGTCTCATGGCAAGAAAAGAATTGAAACAAGTGAGTGAATCTTGCAAGAGATCAGAGCTGGTCAATCTTCACAACTCTTGCATAGAATGGACAACTACAGCCTTGTAGAGGTGAAGGTTCAGCTGCTTGTGAGAAAGCTGGATGGTGGCAGATAAAGGTGTGTGGTTACTGTGCTAAAAAGAGAAAGGACAGCAACACACACGGAGCTCTTTAGGGAAAAAAGGCCAACGTTATTGTATGGACAGCCTGTATTTAAAGTGTGTTACGTGCAGCTAGGACAGGACAGGAGCTCATTGGACAATTGGGAGAAACATCCTTGAGACAGTACCTCAGGATTGTATCCCACGGGAAAGACACCAGGTGTTAATCTTTATTATGAATTCCACTCTGTTTTTCACCATGTTATCACCCTGGGAGACTTCCTCCCTAACTGAAGCTGTAGTCAGCTTGTCAGGTTGGGAATGGACCTGAGAGTCAGGAGAAATCCAGGCCTGGAAAGAATTCCCAAGCTGTAATTCCCTAGCTCTCTAAATGTGTGTCCACAAAGGTGTTTAACAGGATATGTAATTGTCTTGGGGTGACTGTATGATGTCTATATCCCCAAATCGCCTGTTCTGTTGGTGTTGAATATTAAATTCTGCAACTTTAAGACTGGTTCCAGGAGTGAAAGGGCGGGGGGGGAAGAAGAAGTGCAGAGTTTGTTATCAGAGACTGCACTGGCTCCCCCACATTCCTGCACTCGGACTGTGTTGTCTGCAGTGGACAGTGAGAGAGAGCTCTCCTTTGCTCTTGGTTAGTTTTTGGCTAGCTGAGGCAGAGAAGCCCCCCTGGATTGTTTTTTTTTCTTTTTCTGTTTTCCTGGAACTGTTTGAACCTGCTCTGGACTGAAAACCCAGAAGAGCACCGGGAGCTCACACCTGTGGCCCACCAGGCCTGGCCTGGGCCGCAGCATTCCCCAGCACAGGAGGGACTGAGAGCAGACTGAGTGAGCCGGGCAGCCACGGAAAGAACTCTTCTAAATCTGCCATCTCCTCGGAACGGCGGGAGGTTTTGCTGTTTGATATTGTTCATTGTTGTGCTGGGAGGTGTGTTGCCTGTTGAATAAACAGTTTTCTTTTTTTTCCACTTCTCTCCAATTTTTTTTCCTTTTTTTTCCAGAGGGACCTCATTCAGAGGTTTCCTCCCAAATTTGTCCTAAACCAGGACAGTAATGAATAAGAACAGATTGACAGAATTCAAGTTGCCTGATTTTTTGCCCATTTTTAAGCTAAATATAAAGTTTGCCATCTGATCATGATTTTAAGACTGCAGTGCAGTAATGACTGTAACTTCACAATCCTATCTCTAATATGAGTAAATTGGGAATTTGAAAGAGAAATGTAGATTTTGCATTACCTTCTCTGTTATAAATGTTATGTGCCTGGGTATGTAATTCCCAGCTCCAAGGAGTCAGTCTGAATATACTTTTCCTTTCACATTTAAATATTCATAGTGCCTAATTTTGTTTCTGAGCTAACAGATTCTCCCCTGCAAACCAACCAACCAACCAACCAACCAACCAACCAACCAACCATTCCACATACCTGAGCAAAATGGCATCAGAGGACATGTCACTTAAGAGGAATCCAAGGTAATTTTTCTGCTGAAGCTCCACATTTGCTTCATTTTTCTGACTCTCTGAGATAGAAAGAAAATAAGCAAGATGTGAGGTACTTCTGTATCTCTTGACTTGTTTATTCTTCTTAGCACCTTCTGTTAGTCACTGGTGCTGACTGGACGGAAGATTAGACTGTTGGCTTGCCCCATGATATTTTTCCTGTGGTTTAAGGAGTGAAGCTTCTGTGTGATGGGGAGATAGAAATGAAGAAAAACTGGTGTTTAAAGTTTTTTGATTTTAGGAGTTGTCTACACAACCATTTAACTTGAACTGAAGAGCTTTCAAGAGATGAAGTGAATGCAACTAAAACCAGTGCCTAAGACTCCAGCTTTCACCTAAGAAAGGGAACAGAACACAGAGACTTCCCATTTCATTGTGGACACACATCCCAATGTCCTGCTGGTGCAATGCTAAATACATGGCTGGAGAGGGGCTGGTGCAATCTGAGTATTATAGGATCACTTAAATTGGAAAAGCCCTCTAAGATCATCAAGTCTAACTGTTCCTCTGGCACTGCCAAGGCCACCATTAAACCACATCCCCAGGTACCATATCCACAGCTTTTAAATTCCTCCAGGGATGGTGACTCTACCTCTGCCCCGGGCAGCCTGTGCCAGTGCTGGACAACTCTTTCAGGAATAACATCTTCTCAATAACCAACCTGAACTTCCCTTGCTGCAGCTTGATGCCGTTTCCTCTTGTCCTGGCCCTTGCTGCCTGGCAGCAGAGCCCGATCTCTCCTGGCTGTCCCCTCCTGTCAGGGAGTTGTGCAGAGCCAGAAGGTTCCCCCTGAACCTCCTTTTCTCCAGGCTGAGCTCCCCCAGCTCCCTCAGCCACTCCTGGTGCTCCAGACCTTTCCCCAGCTCTGTTCCCTTCCCTGGACACGCCCCAGCCCCTCAGTGTCTCTCTTGTCAGGAGGGGCTCAGAGCTGTGCCCAGGGCTGGAGGTGCCCCAGCAGTGCCAGCACAGGGCACCACACTGGGCTCTCTGGACACATCATGGCTGTGACAGCTCGGGTGCCACTGCCCACCTGGGCACTCCTGGGTTCATGTCCAGCCACTGTTACCAGCACTCCCAGATCCCTTCCCAGTTTTCCAGCCACTCCTTCCCCAGCTTGGAGCATTCCAATGGGACTGTTGTGACCCAAGGGCAGAACATGGCATTGGTCTTGATGACTCTCCCACTGTTGGCCTCAGCCATGGATCCAGCCTGTCTACTTAATCAGACATTCCATAATTAATGACTTCTCCTCCCACAGGTTTGAGACACTTTCTTAGGGATGCAGAGGGGCTGAAGCTCTTTGGGGATGAAGCTCACAGACAATGCAGATTCTCTACCTGTTAAGGGTATTTACGTGCCTGTGCAGACTGATTTACCTGGGCTAGGATGAGCTTAGTAAAGCAGAATAGCTATTCCCTATTTCTCTCTGCATATTGCCCTTCCTACAAAATAAATGTGTCCACATAGGCAGCTCATCAGCACTGTCTGCTCCAAAGCAAGCTGGGCAGCAGAGGAGCCCTCACTTCATTAGGACTGGGAATCTCTGTACCTTGAGCTGTCACCAAGCCCTGAGCTGAGCCCTGCACACGTGACTTATCATGATTTTCATGGGGTCTGGCAGAAAGAGCATCTTTACTCACACCCCAGAGTACTGCTTGAGGCACAGCTTTTTTCTGAGAGTGTAGCTGCAGGCTGGCAGAATCATGGAATCTCCTGAGCTGGAAGTGACCCATAGGGATCATCCAGTCCAACCCCTGCCCTGCACAGACACCCCAACAATCCCACCCTGGGCATCCCTGACAGCACTGTCCAAACTCTCCTGGAGCTCTGGCAGCCTCAGGGCTGTGCCCATTCCCTGGGGAGCCTGGGCAGTGCCCCAGCACCCTCTGGGGGAAGAACCTTTCCCTGATATCCAGTCTGAGCCTGCCCTGGCCCAGCTCCAGCCCTTCCCTTGGGTCCTGTCCCTGCTCACAGAGAGCAGAGATCAGAGCTGTCCCTCAGCAGGAATCTGCAGCTCCCTAGGAGGTTCATCCTGACAGCACCAGTTGGGCTCTGGCCCTCTTGCCTTCCCCAGCAGAAAGCCCTCACTAACTCTCCTTACACTACAAACAGTTTTGTAAATTTTTCCTCCTTTAAATTCTCTTATGTCAGTCAAGATCTACCCTGAGTTCTTATCTGGCTCAATCTCTCTCCTCATTAAAAACTTTACAGTGGAATCAAGTCAGTTTTCCCACTGTTCTTGGGGCAGACTGTACATCCTCAACACAGGCTTCACTCTGTGCAAATCCCTGGGCATAGTGAGGGCATGGTGTACTCCAGGCTGTCCCAACTTCCTGCTGTGCAGCTGTCCTGTGTCCCTGCCAGCTCTCAGGCTCTGGCACAGAAGGAGGCACCTCCAAACACCAGGAGGCAGAAAGGAATTGCCATGTGCCAGCTGCAAGGTCCTGAGACAAATTATTATGGACACCTTAACCTATCCCACACACTAAAACTCCTTGTTTTTTCATAAGCTCCTTTGCAAGCAGATTATACAACAGCAATGGCCAGTCTCAATTTTCCATATAACTAGGATTTTCTTAAACATTTATCCTGATCTTCAGGCACTTTGGAATTCTAAGAGTTGGGTTTTTTTAGGCTCCAGTTTGAGTATCACAGATTGTTTCTAATATCAAGAACAAGTAAAGGAATTGTTTCAAAAGCAAAGGAGATTTTAATCCTCTTGAAAGTGTTTCTCTCAGTGCAAGAATGCAGCCACACCCTGCATGAACATGTAGAATAGAAACTCCAAAGGAAAATGAAAGGTGGGCAAGACCATCAAGAGCAGAAAGTTCATGTTACCTGCAATGAGAAAGCAGCAAAGATGGTTGAATTACGTGGCAAAAAGGGAAATTCCTGAATTACTCCTGACCCCTGGATTGTCAACCTGCCTCTTCCCTGCTCTGTCAGCCAGCCAGGCAGAGCTAAAGACCTACCAAGGGACACTTCTTTTTGTCTCCAGCAAATTGTCCATCAGTGGACAGTGCGGAGGGAAGGACAGAGGAATTTGTCTGTGCCTTCCTAAACAGAGGTTGGACAGGGCTGTGTCTGAAAAGCCTGCACAACTGCCTGTCAGGTCCCACTGATAAGCCACGGGTAAAGGTCACTGATCCTCAAAGCACTGATGTAAGGAAGCAGGAAATGTGTTACCTCTGCCCTCCCTGCTGCAGGGTAATGACAGGTGACTCATTCTGAGTGTTTTCTCAGTACAGACACCAAAAAATTGCCATGAAATCTTTCAGTCCTGGGGGGCAGCTTCCAGGGGGTCTCCAGTTCTGGCCCTGTTCCTATTCCCTGTCTGGGAAGGCACAGCATGTCCTGGAGCCAACCCAAACAGTGCCAGGCCCAAGACACTGACACAGGATGTCCCCAAGCCTGCTTGGGACACCTGGCACACTGTGACAGTGGCTGGGCACTCCGGCTGTTCCAGGAGCTCTGTGTCAGGGATGAACCCATGGCAATGGGCAATCCCACGTGCCTGACCACAGATTCAGCTAAAAACACCTGAGTCCTCGGAGCAGAGCCACCAGGAGATTGCCACGGGACAGCTGGGACTGGAGTCACTGCAAGGTCACAGGGGGAGTGGGGCTGCTGGGGGCGATCAGAGAGGAAAGGGGAAAAAGAACCAGGACGGAGGGAGGCTTAGGAGAGGAGGGAAAGGGAATGAAGAGGATAAAAAGGGAGGCTGAGGACAGAGAGATGAAGGGGCAGAGGGGCTCAGTGGGGACCTTGGGGCAGAGGAGTTACTGGCAGTGATGAGGGTCACTGGGGATGTGGTGGGGGGGGTCACTGGGCCTGACAGGGGAGCACAAAGGGGATGAGGGGGATTTGTCACGAGAGGGAGGGAGGACATCTGAGGTTCTTGGGGATCCCGAAGGGTAGTGGGGACTGCAGGGCACCCAGTGGGAGCTGCAGTGGGGTGGGGGCCCACGAAGTAGGATGGAGGTGACATGGATGGGATCAGGGGACACTGGGGGATCACTGGGGTGATGAGGGCTGGCAGGGAGGCCATGGCGTCACTGAGGATGGGGGAGTCTCTGAGGGGATGACAAGGGGTCTCCGAGGCGGGTCTCTGACAGGGTGACAGGGACACGGGAAGGTCGCTGAGGGGGTGACAGAGAATCTCGGAGGGGGTAACAGGGGGTGACAGGAACACCGGGAGGTCGCTAAGAGGGGTGACACGAAGGCCGGGGCATGGTCGCTTGGGGGTGAAGGGGAGGTTGTGGAGTCGCTGAGGGGGTGACAGAAGTGAGAGCGATGCGGGTTTGGGGTTTAGGTCCCCCCGTCCCTCCCCCCTTCACCTCAGCCGCTCCCGCGCCGTCCTCGCGCCGCCCCGGTCCCGCCCCCGGCGTGCGCTGCCACCGCCTCCTTTCCGGCCGTCGCAAAAGGGGCGTAAAAAAAGCGGCGCCCGGTGCGGGGAGCGGAGGTAGCGCGGGGAGTGCCCCGGCGGCCGCGGCGGGGTCTGCGCGGGCTCCCGGCCGGGCGGGCTCTGCAGGGCGCGGCAGGCGCGAAGGGGAGCGGGGAGGGCCCCGAGGCGTGGCTGGGCCGGGGTCCGGGGGCACCCGGGCTGCGCCGTGGGTGGGGGCGAAGCGGCGGCGGGGCCAGGGGTGCCTTGGGCCCCTCCCCGGCCGGGTGTTGGCCAGGCCGGGCGGGAGTCCCGCGGCAGCCGGGCCGGGCGTTTGTTTTGGGAAACGAGGCGCTCCTGGGCTGTTTTCCCTCTGGCTCATCCCTTCAAGATGAAGGAAAAGCCCAGTTTAATGCACTGGGAGTAGTTTTTCTGGTCATCCAGGGCAACACCCACAGGGACCTCCGCAGTGACTAAGTCTGCTGTCCAGGCGGTTGGAGAGGTGCAGCTCTGCTTCCTCCCGAGCTCACCGAGCACAGCGAAGGCCCTGCCACTTCTCCTCCCTCTGACGGGGCTGCCTGAGGTGGCTTTTCACTTCTGGAATTTGCCTTGCTGAGGGTGTGGAGAGTGGAGCTGAGAGCACTTGTTCTTAGGCCAGTAGTGACCTTTGACTGGCACAGTTTTCTCTACCCATGCAGTGTGGATGACTTTAGAGCTCTCTGTCTTCCTTTTTCTACTTTATTTGCTGAACTTCAACCAGGTTTTCTTATTTTTTTCCCCTCGTTGTCTCCTACAGATTAACAGCAAACTCTTAATTTTAGTCTCCTTTCTCTACTGCTTTTCTGCTTCCTGTGGAGGGTTACATCTGTCTGATCACCTGCTTTCAAGGGAGATGGAACATTGTCAGGGTCCTTGTTTGTGCTGGAAAATCTGGTCCTGACCCTGTATTTTCTTTTCACAGCTGCTTCATGCTATCTCTGGCCAGCTAAAGCTCTCTAGCTTCTGCATGTTTCTTGTATATCTTGAAAGTTGAACAGACAATGAGCTGGGTTAA